ATGAAACAGCACTCTGACCTCTTGAGGTGAAAATGAACTTGAAGCAAGTTCAGCTCATTGGCATTTCGCCCCATCATTCCCCTCTCTCCCTTTCCCTCTCTCCCTTTCCCTCTCTCTCTCTCTCTCTCTCTCTCTCTCTCTGTCTCTGTCTGTCTGTCTTTCTGTCTCTCTTACTCTCTTAATAATAATAATAATAATAATAGTAATAAATAATTAGGTAGTTAAATAAATTTGTGAGAGCTATTTACACATATATTATTGTTCTATAACATATTTATATTCACATGGGAATAGTTTTCAGACAGAGACACAGTGAAGTCACCGAGCTGTGCTCTCACTGCCGGCTGCACGGCGCTGTGGTGGACTCTTAGGCTGTTCCTGGAATTTCTCTGTGGGGTTTGTGTCCCAGCGTGATTGTTTTTTGGGTCCCCAAACCTTGCTGCTGTATAGAAGGATTGGGTTTAATTTCAGTATGAACGAGTTTTAGCCAGATTTGAAATGCTGGGTTAAATAATGGGTTAAACAGTGGGTTAAATATACACTTTTCCCACTCAGAGCCTTGTGGAAGTTTCTGGTTGTACTGATTAGCAGACATAAGTAATTATATTCTGTGGTGTGTTGTAGTGGGGCTCCTCTGAAAGTAAATTCATACTAATTTGACTTTTGGACAGAATGTTGTGTTCAGTTAAGAATGTTATTAGTCAAGTGGTGAGTATACTACAGAATAATTTACCGAGGTTCCTGTTCACTCAGATCCTTCTGTGGTTATTAGGATCGAATCTGTCTCCGTGGTTGTAAATTGTGTCTCTCTCTGTCTCTTGTTCCCCGTAGTTCTCTCTCTCTCTCCCTCTGTCTGTTTGTGTCAGTCTCTCTTTCTGTTTCCATCTGTCTGTCTGTCCCTCTCTCTGTCTCTTGTTCTCTGTCTCTCTCTCTCTGTCTCTCTCTCTCTCCTCTAAAACTCAACACAACTCTTTAAATATTCAAGCACAGCTTTGTTCATCATTCAATTATTTATTCATTGTTAGATCACATTTTTGCTGCATGGTTCTACAAGTGCTTGGGTAACACTGATGGTGTGTAATGTGTGTTACAGAGTGCACTCGTGTCCTTAAATGAGCAGTGATTTGCAGCTTCACACCTAAAACGTGGCTGAGGTATTTTTCTCCAGCATCGTCCATCTCACACTTGTCTTACCCTCCTCGCACCCTCATCTCACCCTCATCTTACCCTCATCTCACCCTCATCTCACCATAGTCTCATTCACATCTCACTGCCATCTTACCCTCCTCTCACCCTCGTCTTACCCTCCTCTCACCCTCATCTTACCCTCGTCTTACTCTCATCTCACAGAGCATAGACGCTTGCATTTTAACCAACGCTTCAATCCACGTCCATCAAAACCCAACCATACTGCTGTGTCATCTTCACATAGTAAAAAATCTTTTCTTTCCTGAATGTAATGTTATTGTCATGCGGCTCACAGTGGTTTTGTGTTTGTCGCAATGCAGGTATTCAATGTTTTATTCAAAGGTGGCAAACAAAACAGTAATCCAAAGGCAGAGTCGAGATACAGGCAAGGGTCAGGCGATGAACGAACAATATTAACTAGGGCAGGCAAGAGCAAATGAGAAAACCAGAAACTAGATCAAAACCAGAAAGACTATCACCGAATCAAAGGCTTGGTATCGACTGGTACAAAAGACACAGAGCGTATACCTCGCAGTGAGTGCATGGACTGAGAGTCTTTCTATACTGTGATGGTAATTGAGTCCAGGTGTGTGTAATCAGGTGAGTGTGAACGTGAGGGAGTCTGTGGTGACTGGGGGTTGTAGTCTTCGGTGGCCATGTTTGTAAGCCGCGCTGTATTCTGGGAATTGTAGTTGGACACTCCAGTGTAGACATGACAGCGTTTGGCTTTAAATATCTTTAGATTACAAAATTAACTGTAGTGTTTCAGTGTAATGGAAAAAAAATTAAAGTGTAATTAATGTGCTGTCAAAACACAGAAACACACATCTAAAAAGGCTGGCTTGGATAGCACGTGCGCTAGCTAGAACTTTCCAGAAGACTTTTAGATTTTAATTGAAACGTGGAAGAATTGGAGTCGTGTAGTGAGGTGGAGATGCAACATTAATGTGATCTCAGCCAGTATATGTTTCTAATCCAAATGACCAATCAGACAACAGTAAAACAAGTACTTTTTTCATGCTCAATTTTTACTAGCATCCCTGTAACCATTAATATCATCTCTGACGTTGATAGAAAACTAAACCTAAAAGTTCTGTCTAGACTGGCTCTTTTTTATTGTTATTATTAATTAATAAAACCCCCCATTATTTACACCATTTCAAATGTAATGAGTGCACCATTACTCTAAAAGTTCGAGCTCATTACTTGGACGTGCACCTTGGGACGTACAATGCTGAGATTTTAGCGCTACTGTGAAGCATCTGATGGAAAAGAAAAATGGTCATGGAGCTGCGCTTTCTAAACTCCCTGCCCACGGACCTCTTCTCCTGTTGTGCCCTCGAGCAGAGCCACTTAACTCCAACCAGCTCCTGTCATCTCATCCCTGCCTCTCAGCCCATGCTTATAAATGAGAGTCTGGTCTCTGCGCACCTTCAGCACCGAAATAACGGCTCCCTAATACGGCCTCTATCTCCATAACAACAGCGCTGCTCGTTAAGACTGCATAATTAATCTATTATTAATCGTTACGGTGACTTTGGCCCATGCACGCCGCTAATCGGCTGTTCGTTAATTGTGAAAGCAATTAATGCACTCCCATTAGAGGCACTCATGCCTGCTGCATCAGAGCTGAAACTTTGTTTTAATCGAACTCGAAACTTTCCCCTGCTGTGAACTGTTTACACGAGTCTAAAGTGCAAACATTATTTTATAAAATCCCTATTTTAAACGCAAGTGTTTTTACATGGAGAGTAATTATTTGTATTGAGGTATTTACTTATTGCATCTTTAATTCTCTTTGGCTTAATCACTATTAGTGTTTGGATAGTGTACACACACACACACTTATGAAACTCAACCCTGATCCTATATGTAAGTGAATAATCACACTAACAATAAATGTGACATTTCTTTTTATAAACACATATCAGCATCCCAACATTTATCAATAGCCAATTACACAGAAAACTCAACAGCATCTTACAGAGACTGTGGGAGAAAACCGCTCAAAAATCATTCCAAATTATTAGACGTCCTTCGCTTTTAAAATATTTTTTACATTTTATGGACTTTTAAATCAGGGTCGCTACATATATGGCTCGTATCATGATGATCAGAGCGTTACTCTCTCTCTCTCTTTCTCTCTCTCTCTCTCTCTCTCTCTCTCTCTCTCTCTGAGCCGCAGACGGTTCATCCCAACATTGACCGTTAAAGCATCTTAAAGCAGACACCACACTGTGACACCACACTGTGAAATCTGATTTGAGGAGGTTACGGTTCATCGACCTACTTCCGAAGTCATTTCTACTACTAAATGCAACACAAACAGAGAATATGAAATAAACTGTATAAACAACTCCAGGAGTCCAGAGCCCCATTTGGACATGTGTGGAAATGTAATGGCTGTAATATGAGAGGAGATGAGGTGTGAATACAAGGTTAAAATCTCTTAAGATCTAGTAGCATTACTGGGAAATTACCAGAAGCTTGCTCATAGCTCAATGGTCGAAAACATAAAAGTGCAACAATCTATACGATCTACTGTATATACATTACATCCAGTACCATGCAAAAGTCTTAAGCGACCTATTTTTTTTAGTACAAACTTTGCTATAGATTTGTATTTTCTGACTTCTACATTATTGATTCAGTGCAAAAACATTTCAGATTCCAAACATTAGTTTTCCAGCACAAAATTAAATGTTACAGAAAAATGTTTGTATGTCAGTAAAGAAAGCAGGAGATTACATAAGAGACACTTTTAGACAAAAAAACATAATGAAGGCTGCTGGGTTTCGCTGCAGAAATAAGAAGCGAGTCGACAGTCAAAGTCTCCAGAAGAACTGTGGCTGCTTCTGCGAGATGCTCAGTAACACTTACAGCTCATTTCCTTATAAAACTGCACACACTGTACCTGAGACTACTGATTTTTTTTTTTTTAAACCAAAGCGTCATCACACCAAATATTGATTTTGTTTCACTTATTACTGTTTACTGCTCTTTACAGTATTTTTTGAATGTAGAAACATTTCATTTCATTATTTTTGAAGGCATCTTTGCTCTACAGCATTTTTGTGCATGTGCATAAAACTTTTACACAGTACTGTACTATACCGTATATAATGGGACTTTCAGGACAAGGGTGACTGTGTGCATCTCAGTGAAATACAGTTCAGTTAATTCCTGCTACTGGTTCATGTGAAAGCATCAGAAGTGAGCATAACAGGATCTCCTCTCTAGGGCTTTTTTTCGTCTCATTTTTTGATTAGTGTGACGCTAGCCACAAGTGTTTGTTCACTTATACGGAACAGTCAGCGATGGCCTCCTTGATGGTGTGACGTAACTGACCCTTTGAAAAGAAGTCTTATGTTTCAAAGGATGTGCATTTTGCAAATAAAAAACAAGATTAGACAAACATTCAGATTTTAGTATCATACTCTCTCTCCAGCTTGCCAAAGCTCCATCTGTCCTGCTCACGAGGTGGAGTCTGGTGTCTCCGTAAGGTCATGACACCACACTCTGAACACTGCTGTTACATACTTAATTACGCTGTTACACGCTCAATTTGCTCCAATTGTACTGCAACATGACTCCACTTGCCAAGGTTTAACTAGAACGTGTGTACACTGCAGTATGTAAAGGGATTTCTCTTAGAGAGCCTCGCTTCCTGTCGATGCTTCTTCTTAATGTTCAAGGTACATGTAAATGTAGAGTACTTTTAAAATGATTCAAGGCACATACTTGGACCTTAAGGACCACTTTTGTACCTTTCATTTCATTTTAGAGTACTACTATAAGCGTACACTAAGGGGTCCGTGGAGGACTAGTGGTTCAGCCACAGCTTTCTCACCGACGCGGCCCGGGTTCGATTCCCGGCCAGGGAACCGACCCCAGCCACTGGGGTTGCGTGCAACAGTGCACTCTCAGTGCCAGTCCCAAGCCCAGATAAAAATTGGGGAGGGTTGCGTCCGACGTAAAAACTGTGCCAAATCAAATAGGCAGACCAGTGATCCGCTGTGGCGACCCCTAACAGGAGCAGCCAAAAGAGGAACAACCACAACAACTGTAAATGCACACTACATACACCTTTCCAGGTAAAGGTATAAAAGAAGTACGCTTGATGGTACCAGTCCAGTGACAAGGAAAGTTACAGTGTAGTGCCCTTTTGTGTAGGGAGTTTTTCTGATATTTTGGTTTGATCATTAGATTAAAGACAGTTTGTGACATCTTCAGTAAGCGCTTTATCCTGGTCGGAATTGCGGTGATTCCGGAGCCTATCCAAGGAACACTGGGGGGGAATACACCCTGGATGAGACACCAGTCCATCACACACACTCATTCACAACTAGGTGGATTTAGTGTACCTAATCCACCTACTGCATGTTTTTCGGAGGAAACCGGAGAACCCTGAGGAAACCCACACTGACACAGGGAAAACATATAAAACTCATAAAAGGTCAGGATCGAACGCTGGAGCTATGAGGTGAGGTGTCAACACTACCTGCTGCGCCAACATGAAGCCTTAAAAAACATGTTCTACATTTCTACAAACATAGAACTATATAACTATGATCCTAGTTATTAGCTTCGAGGATGGCAGGAAGCCAAAAGATGGCAGTGAAAATGGTAAAAGGCGCCACAGGTGTAAAATAGTTGGCTCTGTGTGCATGTGTGTGTCTGGTGTGCATGAGTTGTGGCTCACTGAGAGTGCTCATTTGTGTATAATCTCTTAAAGCCTGACACTCCCCCACTTTAATAATGAAGGACTCTTGTTATCTTCCTCTTCCTCTCTTTCCTCTCCCTATCTCTTCTTCCTTCTCTGGAATATCAGAGGATCTAATCTCCATGGAAATCTGTCCTGCCCGTTACCTTGGCAACAGGCCTTGCTTCAAGTGTCTCTGATTTTCTCTATTCAGAATTTCATTTTGTGTGTGTGTGTGTGTCAAGATTTTGAAAGTGATACCACTAAAGCTCTAGTAGGTCGTCCTATGTGAATCTGTTCGAGAGCTCGTCATCTCAAGTGGAAGCTCTTGGAGAATGTTGGTCTGATCGTTTGTTTCAGGTGACCTCCATGAACATTCACTGAACATTTCTTCCTTCTGTTAGATCAATTTAATCCTGATAGTGACATGTGACTTAACACATTTCCTGACAAATTCAATTATTTCTTGCAGATGTGGCCCTTCAGGCTTATTTTGCAAAAATAAAAGAGCTAAAATGTCCTAGCGACCCAGAGAACCTCCTCTCTGAGATATATATGCAAATGAAAAGGATTTCTCTTCCTCTTTTCCCCGTTCCCTCTCTCCTGATGAGGGATTTTCACACCAAAGCGATTCAGAATGCAATTTGTGGGCAGCGGAGTATGAGAGCCGGATGGGGGCCGGAGTGCAGCAGGGGGTTGGAGAAGCACCAGGGCTATTTAGCTTAAGAAAAAACGCTCCCAGATAAAAGAAGCCCAGAGACCGGCTCTTTTTCCCTAAAGAGAACCATTCTAGAGCGGTTAGCGAGGGTCAGAACGGGGCGGAGAAAACCTGAACAAACTTTCCGAGAAGTAAACAAGAGCGAAAAGGAGATGCTCAGCGGGAGGTTTTAATGCAAGACTTGTCAGAGTGAGTCTTTTGTGCGACTTCTATATTCAAAGTCAGGAATAAATCCCCACAAACCAGGCTAATGCACTTTGTTTCAAAGGAAATCTGGTACAATGAGGCACCAGAAAAGAAATGAGGGACTTGCTGTGCTGACACTAGATTAGGATCAGATTATCCCCGGTTTCTTTTTTTTCCCCCCTTCATGCCATGAGGTGCTGGATCAGAATCGGATTGAATGTGACGTTTTCTGAATCGATCCACTGACGTATTTTTGTGATTTATGTTGACAGACTTAAACCAGACAACACTGAAGATATGTCACCAATTATATTAAAACATGAGGCAATCACACCTCTGATGCTCGGTGCAAGCTGTCTAAAGACCTAAACTTAATGCTTTACATGAAGGATCCCTTAGCTATCATTATTTACTATATTAGTTAACATTAACACTAACAAACCATAAAGACCATCTTAAAAACATAGACCATCATAGTGTTAATAAAGTAAAATGTGAATTAACATGTGTTTTAATTGACAGATATACCTAAAAACCTTCAGCCTCAGTTCTGAATTTAAACCACAAACATGTTCATTAACTTGTTCATGTTGTTTTAAAAAAATTAATTAATACAAGTGTTCATGCTTTATTCCTGACAACTAATGTGATATATAACATCAGTTTCAGTAACTTAATGTAAAGCCTTACAGAAATTAAGGGAAAAATAAATAAAAAGAGAAGGCGTGGCATGCTAAGTAGCCTGAACTAGCGTCACTTCACTGTTACGACAGTGATTCACCAAGTCAACATCTACGATCAAGTGGTTTGTCTACGACCAACATAGTGTGTTATGTGTTCAAGATAAAAATTGCACTTAGACACACTGTAAAGACGACAGCTGGCAACAGGATACACTCAAATGTGTGAAAAGAAATAACTCCACACCACTAGGGGGCAATAATCTGTGTTCATAATGAAAGGTAACCCAGAAACCCGATACTGTGTACGATAAATGTACTATTTTGACTGTGACTAGGGACGCAGCCAATTAAACTAACCGAAATTTTCACTCCACTCTGAATCTGTTTAAAAGAATGTGTTTGGAATTGAAACAGATAATTTGTTGTAAAAAAAAAAAAATAAAATACAGAGAGCTACAGTAGATAAGCAGAAGTGAGAAACTAAGACACATTACGAAAACTACGAGAAAACTACGAGAAAACTACGAGAAAACTACGCAAACAGTCAGACGCTTGTGCAGTTCGGCTCGGTGTATCAGGAGCCTGAGTCGCGTTAGTGTTCTTATATTATTTCCTTAAAAAATCATTTTCCACTTCATGTTTCTTCACAGCTTTGAGATCGAGCGTCTCTAGTGTTTGATCCCAGACATTTAGGATCAAACTAAACGTCGGTGCTTGTCACGGTTAGCTAAAAGTACTGCAGAAGGACACTATAAAGTCTTAAGTGTGACTACAGACTTCACACTGATGAATCCTACAGGAGCTGAGAGAGACACGAGCTAAACTCCGGCTCACTCGAGTCCTGTGTATTTTTGGAGTTTTAGTGGCCGTTAATGGAGAGGACTGTCAGACGCAGCTGAGAACATGCTCGTCCCCTGTGTTTTTCGTGGACGTTTGACAGTCATCAACCCCGCAGTCCTGTGGATTACAGTCTTTTAATGAGAGAGGAAGTGAGAAAGGCTTCGGCAAGTGGGAATTAGAGAGCAGGCAATCAGGATGGAGAGACTAATGTGGGCTTTCAGGACTGATTGGTCCTCTTGTTTCACACCACGTTAGGGAAGATGTAGTGTGATTTAGTGGGGCAAGTTTGTGTGTGTGTGTGTGTGTCTTGATGTGTCCTGGTGCACAATTGTACAGGAAATATATGAGCATATACTCTGCTTTTCTGAAAATTGCTAGAACTGTGTACCATGTACACATCATTCTTTATCACCCTTCACTCTTCTTCATAATCGTCATAATAATATTATCATTCTGTGCTGTTTTTCATGTACTTACTGGATAGTAAACATTTTAAATATTATTAACGTACATACTACGTGTAATTATAATTATAATGCATGGTTCCCCCAAGCCTGAGAGCTTAAAACTAGCAGAATTACATTAAAGATACTCATGCATTTTTCACATGAAATCTGAAAGAAAGAAAAAAAGAAAGAGAATAAGAAATATAAAAGAAAAGAAAGAAAGCGATTCAAGGGGGGAGAGAGAAAAGATGAAAGTGACTGAGAAATGAAAAAGAAAAAAGAGAGAAAAGGAACAAAAATACAAAGAAGTGCAAAAGGAAAAGTGATGAAAAAAGGTAAAATAAACAGAAAGGAAAAACATCCACTGCTGCCTGTCCTGACATTTTGTTCGTGTTGTTTTTTGCTCATTTTGCTCATTTTGCTTTTCCAGGTAAAATGTTTAGCAGGACTAGAGCATGTTTCTGTCTTGCTGAATATTTTGGCCATCACCTAAACTGTTCTAGCAGTGAGAATAGGTTCTTCAGCCATGTGCACTGTACAACGAGAAACAGAAACAGATAGACAGAGAGACCATGACTGAGAGAGAGAGAGAGAGAGAGGAATGTGTGAGACAAAGTGACATTTAAAGAAAAAATAGAAGACAAAGAAAAAGGGAAAAAAACAATAAGGGAAAGAGACAGAAAGACAGGAAAGAGAATTAGAGAAAGAGAAACCATCTGACAAAAGCCATGGGAGAAAAAAACAGATGGAATGGCAGAATTACATATATAATTATATATATATGTATGTATATAGATAGATAGATAGATTGAGAGAGAGAGAGAAATATATATATATAGATATGTGTGTGTATATATATATATATATATATATATATATATATAGAGAGAGAGAGAGAGGGAGAGAGAGTGTGAGTGAGTGAGTGGGAGGAGGGTGGAGGGGCCCTACAGTATGCACCTGCATTGTGTGTGTGTGTGTGTGTGTGTGTGTGTTTCAGGTGTGAGGTTAAAACAGAGCTGTTGATTGCTCAGAATATATTCTAACAGGAAAATTTTAACTTTAAGCTAAAAGATTCAATACATTTAAAACGAAATTATAAATTTTATCAAACGCAATCATAGACTCTGGTTTGAACAGAATCTTTACGCTGAGCACTTTGGGCTCAATTCATTCTCAGAAAAAAGAATTAGAAGAATAGTAATAAGAAGAATGGAGTAAGGGTGCTTGTCTCACTGTAACAAAAGGACTTGGTGTTGTTAAAAGTCGTGTTCTGGTGTGATATTGGAGCTTAAGATGAAGAAACCATAAC